TGACTCGAGAGAATGGAGATGTCGATATAAAAACAAGGGGAGCGGAACGGCACACAATCGCGCCACAGTCGCATATGCATCTGTGCACCATTCCTTTTCTGCCCGCACCCTCTATGTTGCTGCTTAAAATTATACGGCTCCAAATTTTATATTTGTTCATAAAGTAAGGGTGGCTAAGCGGTTTCCTTGGCCATTTGTTCAATGGTTTTCCATTTTCTACAATTTTTTGGGAATAATTGTTGAGAAAATTATTTGGTTGGTCTTGGTCGGTCACGAATAATCATAACATGAAACTGATTCCGGGTAGTTTTTCAAGTTACGGGAAACTGTTAATTGTCCGGCAGGTCACAGGACAGTGGATCTGATTCCGTATCTGTCTTTTGTTTTAAGCAAAAAAAAATTTCTGGCTTTTTTCTTCTTCAACTTTGCCACTTCAACATTTTTTTTTTTTTTTTGTGTAACGTCAGAATAAATTTTTTTATTTCATTCTTTACCCGTCACCACCATTTCTCTGTAGTAACTTCTTTCAATTTTTTCTTGATTAATTAAATATAAATTTTTAAATAAAGTTGTTCCGATTTCAATTTTCAATTTGTTCCAATACATTACTTTTTAAGAACAAGCGGAGAGATTTTTAAATTATTTTAAAAAATAAATTGTTAAAAAATAAACAGAAACAACTGATTATAATCAAGAAAATTGATAAAATATATATTTATTATAAATATTTAGAATTTATATTGTTGTATATATTAGTAATTTAAATGCATGTCTACAGAGCAGATAGGTACATTGTTAGACAAAATAAAAGCCTAAAAATTACGACCAATCTACTTATTTTTTCACTTTTGTAAAATCACTTTAAAATCTGATAATCAGTCTGATTTTTATGTTATCAAACACAAAAATTAACATAAATTATTTAAAGATACTTCAAAAAAATTAGACAATCCAAAATCTTTCAAAATCTAACAGTCACAAGAAATATCGTATCAGTGCATTTCTTTCAAATTATTGATGAACATACAATATAATGTCATATCACATTTCTACTGTACAAAATGTTTTCTCATAAAATTACATGCTTCGATAACAATCTCTATTGAAATAAGAAATTCAAGTTGACTTCCAGGTCTTTAGGGTTTATATTCGTCTTGGGAACATTATCCAAAGGCCTGATGCCTGATTGGAAATTGACATCGAAATCTGCTCAAGATTCCCCGTGGCACCCAAGAGGAAAATCTACAAAAAACTTAAACCTGATTTCCAATCCACCATAACCGAGCCATTGAAAAATTTCTGCTCAATAAGGTCAAGAATGAAAGAACAGGAAAAAGAAAAAACTACCCCGCTAGAATCTGTTTGCTTTATACATTTTACTCCGTGATTTTCCATTGTATCCATAAAATGCAACCCTTTGGCTTTTCCCTTTTACTACAATGAGATCTCATTCACCAATCTACGAGTTTAACGCCAAAATTATGAGTTAAGCACCGAAAAGGGGAGAGAGGAAAGTCATTCAGGCAAGTGGGAAGAAGCTATATCACTGCTTACTAAATCCTTCCACTGTTGACTAACTGTTTTAATCTGTGTGTAGAACTGAATGCTGGCCTTGCCTGCGAATCACAGAAATAAAGTTCTCAACCAGGGAAAATTTACCAACCAGAAGCAACTCCACTCCGTAGTCCATATTCCATATTATGATTTGTCATCTAATAGCTTGAGCGAGTAGCTTACTGTCAAAATTAAGATTGCCTGCAAAAGATGGCTTCAAGCTGGTAAACGATGAAACTGGCAATGGAACTGAGACAGGAACGTTAATACCAACCTGAATCAAATCCAGTTTTTTGTCAGAAAACTATAATATCTGTAGCTTTTTACTGCCAATTAGAGCAAAGAATCTTATTAGACAACCCTAATTGAATTTTGAGAATTGTCCCTAGAATTGTAAATAAAACAAGGTAAAATTTCTCGAAGAACAATCATTTTCTAAATCATTATGATATTGACCAAACTAAAAATTTGAGGCATATGAAGAACCACATACGCTTTATTTATTTATGATACTCTGACATAATCAGAAGCCCCATGAGATACTGTAAATGATTATTACCTGCCCAACCTCAATCTCTGTTTGAAATTTCCGAGCTGCTGCACCAGACTTTGTAAAAATAGAAGCTCCATTCCTACATCTATGAGAGGACAAGCCAATTAGTCACAGAAAGGGAAAAATGCTTTGAAATATAATGATCTTCTAGGGGACTCATGGAGACAAAAGTAGATATTACTTATTTCTGTTTATGATTTTTATGGCTTCTTCTATGCTGTCCGCCTGTGGGACAAGAGAGGTAACTTACATCAGTATACAGAATATCCTGCTAATTGATGTGGGGAGTAGATTACCTGCATGCAAAGAAGGCTAACCGATTACCTGCATACAAAGAAGAACGGGACCAAATATTTCTTCCTGTGGAAACCAAGACAAGGTGTCATGAAATCTATATATAGAAATAAGATTGAAGTCTATCATTAATTAGAATTATCTCTCATATAGGGTCAACAGATATACCTTGTAACACTCCATGTCTGTTGTGACATCAGTTAAGATGGTGGGACCCATAAAGTTCCCATGCTCATATCCTGGAACCTATTAGTGATTCATAAGCATAGTACCATAAAGGTCAGACTTCGAAAACCCTAAGCAGGATAACAAAAATGAATAAAATTCCTACAACTTTCTAACAAGATTACCAAATTGCTGAAAAAGAATGAAGGATGCAAAAGAAAATTTTTTACTCAACCAAAACCATGTTCCTCTCCCTTGAATATCTGAATTCATCAGATGATTTTTTCTTCCATAAATTATAAAGGAATCACAATGTTCAATCAATCGGCCAAACTTTAAGCTCTTGCACCATACCAATAACAAAATCCTAGACATACACATTCTAAAGAGAGGTAATTTCATATAGAAAACATGTAACATTTAAGAAAAAGAAACAGGTTCTACTCCATTATTATCCTACTTCAACGTTAAGTACTCTGGCCAAGGCATCCAGTGCAGAGATTAAGGAAAGAATTTTGAGCACTTGGTAAAGAAAGGTAACTATCATTCTAATCAATTTAGATCGGCTTCAACCCCAGGAAAATGTGTACCTCTGTGTGTTAATCAGGGGAATTAATGCCTACCAAATGAACTGCATTGAAAGGAAGGAGATTTAAGATTTCAAATTGACTACATAAGGACTTCAATTTCTTATTTCAAGGTTTTTTTCAGACCCATATGGCATTAAAGGTTCACCGATAATGATTTCTACATAGCAGTATAGCATAGGCTATCATAATGTAAGGACTAGAATTCTTGCCCCTACAATAAATAAAAGACTTACAAGAAGGAAATTACAAAATATTTATTGTTATCACAAAGTAGGGAGCCTCAAATAATTATTAATGAGACATAGCAGAAACTAAAAGAAGACTGTGACATTCAAGTTAAATTAGAAACGTGATGCACAGACACAAAATATAAGTTAATCAAAATGCCGTAATGATTTAAGCAGGTTATAAGTTGAAATGCTAAAACAAATGAAGAAAATACCACAATGCTTCTGCCATCAAGCACTAGCTTTGCACCACCTTCAACAGCAGTTTGGATCAATCGGCATATCCGTTCCTTTGCCTGTCAATAAATTGTGACACAACAATGACTACAGATAATTATAATGTCGATTAGTCAAAAAGCTGCAATGCAAACTGCTGTGCTTTTTCTTGAGCAGATAGATATATCTTCAAACTTAATGCAATCCAATCACAAAATGATAAGTACTTGAAGCTATTTTTCTAAGATCCAGTACAACTGGTTAGCTAATAAATATGTTTGAATCACAATTCTACCTGCTTGCTTATAACTGGACCAAGATCTGCATCTGGTTCCATTCCAGCAGTCACTTTAAGTGCCAGGGCACGATCCACTAGCTTGTCTTCCCTGCTTGAGGTCATCAGAAGAACTTCTTGCATTAAAATATATCAAGCTCATTACTGGAAAAAAATTCAAGAAGATATCATTACTTCTTTCTGATATACCAAGATGGAAATGAAGGGTAGAATTTAATTTCAAAGATTATCGAGTTAAAGCATCATTCCCCTCTTTTCAGAAAGTTGTAATCTAGCTCTGCCCACTGGTAAGCATCATGTGATTCCAGCAATTTCATTGAAATTCTAGGCTGTACAACCTCAATTAGGTGATGCTAATTATGGACGTTACACCCTAAGTAGCATTGATCCTAGGCACCAAGGAAGAGACCTTCTTTGAGAAAAGAAACTATCATCTCAAGGAGACTATAGACAGAACTGATGGCTGGCACATCACAGTTACATCTTACTGTCTTGCTAGATTTACAAAATTAGAAAGTTAGATCTGCTTGACCATAGGCCAAAATTGCATACACAATTAGTTCCCATAATTTTTAGAAATTGAATAAAAATAACTCCGAAACATGCAAAGCCCTAATTTCCCTTTTCCAATCGCATTTGATGTTTTCAGCAATCTGAAAATATTGAGTAAATTTATGGAAGAAGACAACATAAAAAAGTAGTTGTAAAGAAAATGTGAAGAAGCAATTAATAGTACAAGGTCAGATAGTTGACTTAAAATTTCTTTAAGTGAGAAGGAAATGATTAGGAAGTAAATCACATTTCAGGAAACACACCCTTCAAAGATACAATTCATTATGTCAAAGATGCCAGGGTGAAAATTACCTCGACATTGAAAATAAAGTTGGCAACCTTCAACAGATAAGTGATAAATATCTAGAAAGACACTGACACGTCTAGCAGAAAGCTTTTGATAATTCGACTTAGAACTAGATGCTTCAAGATAAATATTTGGTGATATATGAATAAGGTGATAATTCCATTTAGAACTAGATGTTTAAGAAGAATTTTAAAGGCATAGTACTTTCTTACTCTAGAGATCATGGAGTTCTCTCCTCCTCACACGTCCTCAATTTCTATCTAAAAATAGGTAAAGACAGAAAATCAAAGAAGAACTTGTTCTTCCGACTAATTTGTGTTTTAATCATCTAATAACTAGATCCATTAGCTGGGACCACAATAATTTGGAATCAGAGCCAATGGTTATGGGAGAATTACAATCTATGTTTGAGAAATTTCTGTAGACTGATCAAAAAGACTGGGAGAAAGACAAATTAAAGTTTGAAATTTTAGTGGAAATATTGGAGTTGTCGCCAGAATTACTTCGAGGGAGTCTGGTGAAGAAGTAGTCACGCGGACCATCACCAGTCAAGCCATCTGGCTGCAGCAAATTCTGCCTCACGCGAAATGCATGAAGAAGAAAATTCCCAGGGCGGCCAAACCTCCTCTGTGTGCAACAACATATACTGTGCAGGCACCTCTGTGCATCCAGCTCTCACGCACAGGTACCACAATCATACTATTGCCAGTTTCTGCCTCGTTACACTAAATTATATTTTCCCTGTTTGATGGTTCTGGAGATCCCTTACCATGGTTGGGTCATTTGAACATTTTTTCCAACACCAACTTACACCGGACAATGGTTAAATCTCCTTGGCCTCCTTTCATCTTGAAGCTGAGGCACAACTTTGGTTCAAGATGTTGGATCATGATCAGTCTAATTTCTAGTGCCAGAATTTAAGTATTTTTGTCAACTCAGATTTGGGCCACTTATTAGACGCAACAAACTTGGCGAACTTAGCATATTATGCCAAACAGAGACCGCTTCAGAGTATCAAAAGAAATTTCAATTATTGTTGATGCAGGTGAGTAAATTGACGGCTGAACAAGGAGAAATTTTCTTGAGAGCCCTGCGAGATTATATTGCTGTAGACGTGGAAATACATTGTCCCACAGATCTGACAACAATAATCAATTTGGCTTGCAAATATGGATGCTGAACACTGTTGGGTGTTTCAGTGCCGTCTTGTGGCAATGGCATTCCGTCTGATTCTTCTCCACTGGGTCTCGTTTTATTGACAATACCAGACCATGAATCTGGGCGCAACTTTCTGTCCCAACCAGCCACCATTAAAAGGTAGTTTAGACTGTCAGCGTGCCAAGAACCATTACTTCATGTGATGAGCAGTTCACGCCAGGCCATGGATGCAAGCGGCTCTTCTGGCTCGAAGTGGAAGAACTGTTCAAGCGGACACGCCCAATGAAAAAAGATCAACAAGATCCTCCTTAGCATCAGCTGTTGCGCTTGAGAACAAGCACAGTCTTCAAAGGGGGAAGTAATATTAGGGTGCAACTAAGATGTAGGTAATAAGGAAAGGAGAAGAATTTCTGAAAAATTGCAAGAATATTCTGCAAGATATTTCTGTTTTATTTTTCTGTATTTATTTTGTAGGAATATTAGGTAAAGTATGGGTAGTTAAGAGTAAAAAATTAAAGGGAGTACACAAGTTACTAAATTCTGAAAATAATTTCCAGATGACTATCCTGTCATTGTATTAAAACCAGATTTGCTGTCCTTAAGACAGATTATGTACAAAGAAGAATTTTAAAGCAGAGTACTTTCTTACTCTAGACATCGTGAGGTTCTCCTAAGTAGTCTTTTATTTCAATCTAAAAATAGGTAAAGGTAGAAAATCAAAAAAGATTTTGTTCTTCCTACTGATTTATGTGTTAATCGTCCCGTGACTGGATCCATTAGTCGGGACCATAACAAGAATCTCCATTTCTTAAGAATACATTTAGAAGATAGGCAAAAGGTTCTACATGTTCTAAAACGTTCAATTTGAACAGTAATCGCAGATAGGCAAAAGGTTTTACACATTCTAAAATGTTCAATTTGAACAGTAATCGCATATTAAATTATAAGACAAGAGACAACACAGGATACCATGAAGTTAAGCCTCCAACAAAGATTACTGTGCTGATCACCATGCACTTTTGCCCTGCCCCACCAAAACCAGAAGCAACTAGAACATCCAGAGTAGCATCCACACTTGCATCAGGCATGACAACCGCATGAGTTTTGGCTCCAATGTTGCACTGAAGACAACAGTCATTTAAAATTTATACCAAATTAATCATATTGCTGAGGGAACTGCAGGCTTGCTACCCAAGATTACCTGAACACGCTTTCCTTTAGCCGATGCTCTCGTGTATATGTAAGAACCGGCCTATAATATTTAAAAACAACAGTAATAAGTTATATACGTCTTAAAGCTCTATAAGTATATGTTGAAATGAATTTCAACTAACTATTGAAATTCAAGAAATTAAAGCCCAAAATCAGCCCTTCTGCATGGCTCAGCCATCTGGGTATTTGTACTGAACTAAGTGATGCCTCCTACAGCGGAGAGCTTTATTGGCTCTAATATCTATGGGGTAAGGGTGAGGACAGAAGATAAGCCTCTATGGCAACCATCGACTTTTCCATTACCGAACTACATCCTTAGATGAGATATCGGAAAGGACTACTTTCATGACAACATTATGAGCAAAGGCACATAGACATTACCCTCACATTTGTCTTGCCCAACTCCATTGGAACTGGAAGCTATTATATATAGCTCTTAGGATGCTACAACTGTGTGCTTGTACCAATTATCTTTTCTTGTTTTTTCTTCTACTTTTGAAGAGGATATCTTATCCTCAAATTTTATATTCCTTTCCCTCTCTTCCTAAATAAAATTTCTTCTTTTATATATAAAGAAAGAAGAAAATTAAAAAAGAATGACGTTTCTATTACTGGAAATTAATTAGAAATTGTCCACACACCCTAGACCATATGCCAAGAATAGCTAAGAAGTCATATATTGAAGGAATAAATAAAGCTTCATTTAGGCAGTAGGTTCAACTGCCTCAACCATGTCATATAACAAACTAAAAAAAATAACTTCGCCATTATCAAAAGACAGGTGGCTCCATATCTTTGGTTTTATTGTACTTGGCCACAATCTTGATTCTTTTGATGATTTTGGATCTATTATAGATATACTCAAAGATCTGTAAATTCTTCTCTACATCTTGTATATGGGTTACGCCCCCTTGGCGTGATTTCTATATATTTACTCATTTTTATCTCAAAAAAAGAATAACAAACTAAGCCGAGAGAGGAAAAAAAAATTGACCCAGAGCTACTTGCTGCACTTTGTCCAGCAAAATAATGAGTACAAGTTCCTTCTAATCTTGTATAAACGTCAACAACCCTGATGCCATTATCATACCTAAAAAATCTAAATAAAATCTTTTACCAGGCTAAGATTACAACATTTTCTGTTTTGGTGTGAATATGTAGCATAAAAGATCATTTCATTTGTCGATCATGTGACCATCAACCAAAATAACCAGAATAAAATATATTTCTTGTTTTCATTAAGAGTTTTAAAACACCCAGACACAAGATTACAATTAGAAAATTAAGAAAACTCCCCACTGCCCAGCGCTCTTATCTAATTCTAGACTAGGCTATCCTCGGATAAAGGTAATGCAGATATGAATCCTTGCTAATTAAA